TTATTATTATTATTATTATTATTATTATTATTATTATTATTATTATTGCACTTAGGGTTACTAATCAAAGGCCAATTTTTTGTGTGTGCTTTAGAAACATGCCTGGTATTGCATGAAAGAGAGAAAAGAAGGGGAGGAACTAATCTAAGAATGTGAATGGAAAATGTGTTTGGGGATTCATTAAAATGTGTTTGGTTAATGCAGGACAGTGGTGGTTTAATAAACTGTATTTTTAATGTGTGGACTTTTTTTGTCTGACAAGTCTAGAAAAGGAAGGTGAAATGCAAAATTATGGGAGAGGTGTGGAAATCTTGGGGTTCTCTGTGACCAATGTTGGATTCTGAATCTCCCCCCCCCTGAATTTGGAGGGGTGGGGAAACAGGCTGAAAGTGATGAAGAAAATATTTTCAAATCCATCCTCCCAAAAAACATGTGTTTTTCTTTGGAGGGATATCAAACATATTTACATAAACATGCATAAAGATAGTTCTCGACTTACAATCATTTGTTTAGTGACTGTTTGAAGTTACAACAGCACTGAAAAAAAGTGAATTATGACCATTTTTTACACCTACAACCGTTGTAACATCCTCATGGTCACGTGGTCAGAAATTAGATGCTCAGCAACCAGTGAGCCATGGTGAGAGTGCAGTACTGCGGGCTACTTCTGCTGACAGCCAGCTGACTGCAATTTGGCAGTTCAAATCTCACCAGGCTCAGGGTTGACTCAGCCTTCCATCGTTCCAAGGTTGGTAAAATGAGGGCCCAGATTGTTGGGGCCAAAGATGCTGACTCCAGAGGTGGTATTCAGCAGGTTCTGACCAGTTCTGGAGAACCGGTAGTGGAAATTTTGAGTAGTTTGGAGAACCTACAAATACCAACTTTGACTGGAAAATTTACAGTATCCTTCCCCTGCCACACCCACCAAGCCATGCCCACAGAACTGGTAGTAAAAAAAATTTGAATCCCACCACTGGCTGACTCTTAAAACCTCTTAGAAAGGGCTGTAAAGCATGTAAAGCAGTACATAAATCTAAGTGCTATTGCTATTGCTATATTTATGATGGTGGCCATGTCCAAAAGTCATGTGATCACTTTTTTCAACCTTCTGACCAGCAAAGTCAATGGGAAACCCAGATTCACTAACAACTGTGTTACTAACTTAACAACTGTAGTTGTTTACTTAACAATTGTGACAAGAAAGTTTGTAAAATGGGACAAAACTCACTTAACTGTCTCACTTAGCAATGGAAATTTTGGGCTCAGTTGTGGACTACCGAT